GGATGTGCATTGTTTAGGTGTATATAATGAGAAGTGAAGGAACGAAGGGACACGGATGTGCATTGTTTAGGTGTATATAATGAGAAGTGAAGGAACGAAGGGACATGGATGTGTATTGTTTAGGTGTATATAATGAGTAGTGAAGGAACGAAGGGACACAGATGTGTATTGTTTAGGTATAGTATTATAATATATTATAATACTACTATAATACTACTATAATACTATTATAATACTACTATAATACTACTATAATACTATTATAATACTACTATAATACTACTATAATACTATTATAATACTACTATAATACTACTATAATACTATTATAATACTACTATAATACTACTATAATACTATTATAATACTACTATAATACTACTATAATACTACTATAATACTATTATAATACTACTATAATACTACTATAATACTATTATAATACTACTATAATACTATTATAATACTACTATAATACTACTATAATACTATTATAATACTACTATAATACTACTATAATGCTACTATAATACTACTATAATACTATTATAATACTACTATAATACTACTATAATACTATTATAATACTACTATAATACTATTATAATACTACTATAATACTATTATAATACTACTATAATGCTACTATAATACTATTATAATACTACTATAATACTACTATAATACTACTATAATACTATTATAATACTACTATAATACTACTATAATACTACTATAATACTACTATAATACTACTATGATACTACTATAATACTATTATAATACTACTATAATACTATTATAATACTATTATAATACTACTATAATACTACTATAATACTACTATAATACTATTATAATACTACTATAATACTACTATAATACTACTAGTATTATCTTTATGACATGTATATACGAAAACTTCCGTAGGTATTTCTGATAATTGTTTTGATCAATTTTATGAAACAACGAATAGGTTTACAACATTAATCTTCTTTTGAAAACGAAATTAGGATACTGACACGAAAATGTAAAGTTTTAGTAATATTTTAAATTATTTAAATCAGTATTATCTTACTCATCCACTAGGGGAATCTGTACTTCACATGGCAATAGTCAACGAAGATCCAGCTATGGTCAAGTTTTTGTTGGACAGTGGGGCTAATTACCATGAACGTTGTGTAGGCAACTTCTTTTGTCCAGAAGACCAGAAGGCGTCCAGGATGGACAGTTTAGACCATGAATGGGTAGACGTGGTGACCAAGACTAATTATGAAGGGTAAACAAAACGAATATTTTCAAATAGAAAGTACTGAAAGACTTGCGCTCCACAGGCGCTGCGGTATGATTGTAAAATATAGCGTTCTATTTCTCACGCAGTTTTTGTTTAACCTTGCGCTAAAAACCAACGAACTAAAACTTTGATGACTACAAACTTCAGTTCAGACGGTCCACAAACTTTAGTTCAAACGGTCCACAAACTTTAGTTCAGACTGACCACAAGCTTTAGTTCAGACGGTCCACAAACTTTAATTCAGACTGACCACTAACTTTAGTTCAGACGATCCACAAACTTTAGTTCAGACTGACCACAAGTTTTAGTTCAGACGGACCACTAACTTTAGTTCAGACGGTCCACAAACTTTAGTTCAGACTGACCACAAGTTTTAATTCAGACGGACCACTAACTTTAGTTCAAACGGTCCACAAACTTTAATTCAGACGGACCACTAACTTTAGTTCAAACGGTCCACAAACTTTAGTTCACACTGACCACTAACTTTAGTTCAGACGGTCTACAAACTTTAGTTCACACTGACCATTAACTTTAGTTCAGACTGACCACAAACTGTAGTTCAGACTGACCACTAACTTTAGTTCAGACTGACCACAAGCTTTAGTTCAGACGGTCCACAAACTTTAGTTCCGACTGACCACTAACTTTAGTTCAGACGGTCCACAAACTTTAGTTCAGACTGACCACTAACTTTAGTTCAGACTGACCACAAGCTTTAGTTCAGACTGACCACAAGCTTTAGTTCAGACTGACCACAAACTTTAGTCAATCACAAAGCTATACAATAAGCTATCTGTGCTCATCTCACCACGGGTATCAAAACTCGATTTATAGTGCTATAAGCCTCCAGACTTACCGCTGAGTCAGTGGGATGGGCAGGGGGTAATATGCCCTTTGATTTGAATTTCAAGAATTATTTAAAAGGAACGTAAAAAAACAAAACACATCTACAATCAAGTGTGATTTTTTTTTTCACTAATCTTTTGATTTGTTTTTACTAACGGAATTACGTTAGATATATTTTTATAATTATATAATAATTTTATTAAATATATAGACGTGTTATTTCGTGACGGTTTTCAATGCGATTGTGAAACTAGAATCTAATTTTGAAACGTCTTTAAGTAAAATAATTCTCGGAGAAAATGTCATTAGAATAATTCAAAGTTCGTTTTTTAAACCGAGAGAAAACTTAATTGCCCTGAATAAACTATTCAACGACAAAACCCTAACGTGCAATTAGGTTTCCTGCTACAACAATACTGGCATGCAGGGCCGACGTAGCAGTTGGCTATGTTCTTTACATTCACACTAGATGGCGCTGTAGTGTAATTATACATTATTGACGTATTCCCCAATGCTCTAAAACTGCCTCGTACTTCCTTTGTAACATATTCTGCCATGTTCTAATTAAACAAATTTAGCTGCTTTGAATTACTCTAAAGTTTATAGTTAATGAAGCATTCTTCC